CTCAATGAAAGGAAACATTTAATCGGCTTTTTCCTTCCTAAAATTTATACACTTTCACCAATAGGAATTGATTGTTATCAGAACGCTGCAAATCCTTGGACCATTGAAATGGCCTTCGATTAATAGAAAGTGTACATTTTCATGATAACGTTACAACCTATTCAATTTGAATAGATTATTAAATGAGAGAGTGAAGAAAAATTCAATTACAATTAACATGCTTATTAAACTGTTGTTGTTTATCATTGTTGTTATTTGTTTGTTTCGCGATTGTTTATTAGAACTTTTCTCTTTCTTTCTCTTTCGTTATCATTTCGAATCAGGTTAAACAATTTCTTTTTCTACTTTCGGTTGATATTTACAATTAATGAAAGGTTTAGATTATGAAATGATGAAATAGATGATAATTATTATCGTTAAGATGGTTACTTTACAAACTCGAACATTTTTCATGATTTAACCTGATTTTTTGGTCTTACAACTCGATTAGAACTTTTCTCACTTTCTCTTTCATCTTCGTTATTCATTATTGTTTTTTTATTGTATAACTTTCACTTGCTACTTGAAGATGATGATGATTGTTTTCATTTCGTTTGGTCAACTACGAAGTGGAGGATAAAAGTTTTTTTCTTCTTCTTTTTTATATTGTGTAACTGAGTATTATTTACTCGAGATGATGATGATGATAGAATATCTTTCACTTACTTTTAGCACTTTCTTTTTTATTTCTCATTTTCATTTTTCGGTTTTCGTTGAAACGATTCAAAAAAGGAAATGATTATTTATCTCGATTTAGGACAATCGCTTTCGTTGTTATCGCTATTTATTCATAACGTTTTCACACGTAACATTAGAATCGTATTTAGATTAAGCATTTTCATCATTGCTCGTTGCCTTGGAGACGAGTATCTGTACTTTAAATTATACAATTAATAATAGTAAATATTTTTCGAAAGTTTCTAAACTTATTGGATATTTTGATAAATATCGTATTTAGATATCTTTCAATGAGTTTAAAGGACAAGGATGATAGTGATTGTGATGATGATTTCTCGTTATTTTGTCAACAGTTACTCTCTCTCTCTCTCTCTCTCTCGTTCTCGCTCTTAGTCCTTCTGTCCATCCTCATCCTTATCTTCATCTTTGTAGGAAACAATTTGTTGGGATGGTTTGGAAGACGAAATTTGTCTTCCTTTGGTCTTAAAACTCGTAGACTTTTAAAGCGAGAAAGGAAGATAAAGGAAGAGGAGAAAGAGGGTGAAAATAAAGAGGAGAAAAGGTGAATAAGATGACAACCTTTGTTGAACCGGAGGTAAGAAAATTTTTTTCCTTTTCTCTTCATATGCTCTCATCTTCCTTTTCTTTTCTTCCAAGGAAAAATAAAGTTATAGCGACTTATAACCTGCCTTTCCTCTTCTCTTTCCTTTTCGTTGTGGCCCTTTGAGCTTGACCTGGACTCAATAAGATGATGATGATGATGATGATGGAGAAAAAGACTCTAAGGTGACCTTGGCTTACTCTCTTTCTATGAAGGAGCAAAAGATATTTTCAAAGGCAATAGCTTATTGGTCTGTAGTCAAAAAATAACATAACACAAACAATAACAACATCTTAAGAAATAACCGAGAAATGGTTCTAAAGAAGAGAAATGAAGATGATGAAGAAAGAGAGAGAGAGAGAGAGAGAGAGAGAGAGAGAGAGAGAGAGAAGAGAAAAAGCCAAAGGCTAACTTAAACTTCGAGGCCAAAACGAAACAACAACAACAACAAGAGTTCATCACTGGTCAAGCTTAGGTTCCTAGGGTCAAGCAGATACATAAAGAGGGACTTGGGATCTTCCATTGAAAAAGGGACAGAGAGTAAGAAAGAGAGAAGATTAAGATGAAAGAGGCGAAAAGAAAGAGAAAGGAAGACGTTGAGACGAAAGAAAGAGAAAAAGAGAGCCAACAAACGTTTGAACGGAATTCATATCGACCTCAAAAAGAAAAGTTGGAAAGAAGTAAGAGGAAATTGTCGAAAGGAAAAAAGAAAGAAAGAAAAAGATCAATAGTTCACAGAATTTGGCCTTTTCTTCCTGTCTTCTTTTTCCTCCCCACCCTTTCCCTCACATCATCTTCTTCTCATCACATCGGAAGACCAACATTGGGGACAAAACTCGAATTATAATAATAAAAGAATGAAAGAAAGTCGCTCTCTTAAGGTCGATAACAAGGTTGGCCTCACGCTTTTTTATCGTTTAGATTTCCGTCTTCGCCTCATCATCCACAGGTAATAATACCAATAGATGATGATGATGATGATAAATAGTAACAATAAAATGATAATATCATTAAATAGCTTTTTCTTTCCTATGAGATTTTCGTACATAACCTCAATGTACACATACAGGTAACCTCAACTCTAAAGGAAGGGCAAAGGTTGATTCTATGGGAACTTCCGATGTAATAATATTATTATTATTCTGTGAAGTGGATTAAATTAAGGTCATCAGTTGATTGTTGTCACAATTTGTTGATAATATTAACAGTTGACAAAATAACACCCAAAGTATATAAACTGATATTGTCAATATGATTATTATTACAATTATATTAACTAACTACTGTTAAAAGTTAATTTGTCAATAACAATGGTTCAAATCATGATATTGATTGTTGTTGAAATTAAAACGTAATTTAATTCAATTAACTAGATAATTGTTTGAACAAATTGTCGATTTGATTGGTAAATAATAGTAAATCAGTTTAAATGTTTCTAATGTAACAGATTAGTGATTTAATTTGTTTCGCAGGTTAAAGGTTAATGGAATCAAAATTTATTGCTAATTAGTGATAATCAGTTAATTGTGTTTAAATATTTAAACTTTTGTAACAATTAGTTAACTGAAAGTTTAGATGATTAACAATAAATTGTTGTTGAAGTTTTTGTTTCTTGTTTCTCTGTTGTTGTTAATGGTCAGTATATGTGAGGTGAAAAGGGTCAGTTCGAAAATTGACCAAAACAATTTGAAAAAATTTCTGTTCTACTCAGGAATGTTTGTCTTGTTTTCTTCATCTTCTCGTTAACTGACCTTCGGGTACTGAGTTTTGACCACACCGAAGAAAGAGAGGAAAGAAAGAGTGAAAATGATGATAGGATGAGAAATCTTCATTTTCGTCGTTATTGAGGTAAAGAAAGACAAACGTTTTTACCTTTGGCTAAAAGGCTACTAGGTTAAAGATGATGATGATGGTGATGAAGATGAAGATGAAGATGAAGATGAAGATGAAGATGATAATGATGATGAGTTCGAAGCGAGAGAAAAAAATTCTTTTCTATTCTAAGGTCACTTTTCTTCGGTTATTTCTCTCTCCTTTTCTCTCTCTCTCTCTCTCTCCATCTCTCCCTCTCTCGCAGGAATCTATGGTTCTTTTTGAGAGATACAGATTCTAACTTTCTTATCTCTCTCAATTTTTCTCATCATCTCCTTCTTATCATCATCATTTTTTTCGGTAAAAGGAGTGGTCTATTTAGGACACTTGAAATGAAAGGTAAGTAAACTTTAGTTTACCTGATTTTTTGTTGGTACTACACCAAATGAGAGAAGGCAAAAGAAGAAACAAGAAAGAGATGATGATGATGATGATGAGAGAAAGAGGGGAGAGAGAGAGGGAGAGATTTTAGGGGTTGAAATATATCCTGTGGTGGAAAAAGGTAAATCTTTACCGGACTTTACTAGAAGAAGATGAGAATGAAGAGAAAGAGAAGACATTTATTGTATGGAGTTTATATTCAACTTGTAGTCTCTCTTTCTCTCTCTCTCTCTCTTCATCTTCTCTCTCTTATACTTACCTACAGCTACGTTTAGTTATATGAGTGAAGGAAGGAAGAGTCAATTGAAGAGAAATAGAGAGAGAAAAGAAAGAGAAAAAAACTTACCTGTGAATATGTTTTCTTCTTGCATTCTTTTTCATCATCATCATCATCTTTCAACTTCTTTTTCAAGTTACCTTTTCTGTTTGAGAGATTGAGAAGCAAAAAATGTTTGTAGTCTTTAACGTTTTCTTCAAACTTAAAATGATGATGATGATGAAAGAAGAAAGAGAAGAAAAAATCTGAGAAAGAAAAAAAGGAAAGACAGGAAAGAGGAAGCAAAGGTAAAAAGAGAGTGAGAGACTGAAAATGGCTGATGGAAGAAGTAAAATTTATATTTTACTTTTCTCTTTCATCTTCATTCTTATCTTCTCTTTCGCTCCTTCTCTTTCTCTCTCTTCATCGCCTCTTCATACTCAACGTCCTTTTCGTTTTGTTATATTCTATTTTATCAACAACCGGAAGTCTTTGGGAGTCGGTTACTAACTTATATACCGGTAGAAAATAAAACATAAAAAAAGAGAAGAAAAAAACTTATATTTCCGAAAATTCAATGATGATGAAAGAGCAAAGAGAAAAGATAACTCTAAAGAATAGAAAAAGTTTTTCTCTCAAGGATTCTTAGTTGTTGGTTTTTTCACTCAACATGCAAATGTCAAAGGACTCAAAGGAGTCAAGATAAGATTAAGGTTAGGTGAGGTTAGATTAGATTAACTATTCTTAATCCATACTAACATTATGATAGAAAATGTAACAGGAAAAAAAAAGAACTAATGTAAATTAAAAACAAACACAAACGAAGGAAACGAAGATAAATTTTCATATTCTTGTTCAACAGAGACAGTGAAAGAGTAAAAAAAACTTGTAAGACTTTCAGGGAAAAAAATGAGAGTTAAGATTCAGTGAAGAATAAAAAAATCAGCTGTTGGAAGGAAAAAGAAAGAGAAAAAAGAAAGAGTCACCATTAGTTGTTCTCTTTTCCCACCAGATGACGTTACTTTTTTTCTTTCCTGTTGAATGAACATAGAAAGTGGCGACATCTCAGTCGATTCTTGAGTCACCTTTTTCTTTTCTCTCTCTTGTTGTTTCCTCTCATTCATCTTGTCTTCTTATCGTTTTTTTTACTTTTGTTGCTCTTCTCTTTCTTTTTTCCTCTTTCTCTCAACTTTGCTCCCTCTTTCTCTTTCTCCTTTTTCCATCATCTCTTTCTATCTTCTTTCCTTTCCTTTCCTTTCCTTTCCTCTCTTTCTCTCTATTTATCTTCTCTTTCTTCTGTCGTATCCTTAACATGCTCTCTTTTGGTGACTCTCTCCAGTTTTATCTTCTATTCCTCTCTCCCTATTCTCTCTCAACAAGCTCCCTTTTTCTTACTGGTTTTCATCAGAAGAATAAACCAAAGTTTTGAATTTTTGTTCGGAAAGGCAGCAACAATATTTGTTATAACTCTACAATCAACAACAATCAACAACAACACAAATATAACAACAATCCAACTTGTATCTTCTGTTTGTTTCTTTTCGCTCTTTCTATTCTCTTTCTCAAAGTTGTCTCTCTTTTCTCTCTGTCTTCATTATTCTTTCTAATTATCAATAATTTCAATTGAATATTTTTGTTTGTTTCTTGTGTTTTGATTTTCTCTCTCACCAGAATAATCATCACAATTCACCAATAATCTCAAATTTTATTATTCTCTTTCTGTGCTTGTGTTTTTCTCTCTTATTTTTCTTTCTTTCTCTCTCTCTCTCTCTCTCTGTTGTTTTACTATCCATTTTTGTTATACTTCTCTGATCTTGTTTTGAATTTTTATTCCAATTTATCTTCTATTTATATGAATCTTACACTTATTATGAAGTCCTCATGAATCGAGTTTATCACAATCATATAAATAATTCTATGTATAATCAGTATGGACATGGACCACCATCAGTTCGACCTGGAGGGCCACCTCAACCTCATCCAGGTCACCACCCTGGTCAACATCATCAGGGTCACCTTACTGGTCATCACCCGGGTCATCCTAATTCTCACCCTGGTGGACCACAACATCATCCCCATCATTCACAAATGACAAATTATGGAAATGGACCCATGAATAGTGGAGTAACCGGTGAATTACCAACAACCCGAACAGCTCGGCCTGGACCTTATCCTACTCCTCAACAATATATGAACCAAAAGTGGGCATACAATGAATCGTACAACAATAATTACAACAATTACAATTCAGGGCAGGGTAATGTTCAAAACATGGTACCAGGAAATCGTCAACAAGGACAACCTCAAGCACAATCAGAACAACAACCACAGCAACAACAACAACAACAACCGCCGCAACATTACAGCAACAACAATCAGGTAAGAGAACTTGCTCTCAACCTTTGTAGTTTTCTCTTTTCTTTTTTTTTCCTCTAATCTTTACTTATCGTTATCAACTTTTTTCTTTTCTCTCTCTCTTTCTCTCCATCTACCTTGATTATCGTTTATCTTTCTCCCTCAATTTCTTTTCCTGTGTTTATTGGATCATTCATTTCATTATTCATCAACCTTATTAAAAAAACTTTTCTTTTTTCATTTCATTTAAAGTACTCAAATCAATCGGGTTTGATGCAATACGGCAAAACTGGAATGCAGAGCTCAACCTCAGGAGCAACAATAAACTATGGTTCTAACATGGGACCTATGCAAGGCCATCCAATAGTCAATAATGTACATAATAATGCATCAACAGGCTACAACGGAAGTGTACCTCCCAATGGACCAACACTTCGTGCTAATATGAGAGTTCAACATTCTGCACAACAACAACAACAACAACAACAACAACAACAACAACCGACAACTTACCCAACACCACCTCATTCTAATCCAAATTCTGGATATAATCCAATGAATGGTAATTATGGTACCAATGGTATGTGTCAAACAATGAACGGTTCTGTTGGTGTACCTGTGGTTGGTGGGCCTCAAGTTGCTATTCGATCTGCCGCTCAAATGGGCGCAATGAACAGTTATGATGGTTCAATGGCAGTTAACGCGGGAGCATATATGCCAATGAATCCAGCACAAGGGCAACAACAATCTCACCGTCAACTTCAACAACAACAACAACAACAACCACCACATCAACAAATTCATCAACAACAACCTCATCCACAGTCTCATCAATCCCACCAACAACAACCTCTCCCACAACCCCATCAGCAACCCCATCAACAGCTTCGCCACCAACCTCAATCTCAACCGCCATCAACACTTCATCATCGCCATCATCCGGCTCAGCAACCACCTCCACCACAACAACAACTTAAACATCATCATCATCAACAACAACAACAACAACAACAGCAACAACAACCTCCTTACATAGCAGGGCCTGTGATGAATCAGATGTACAATAACATGAACCGAAATGCTGGACAAGTAGGAACCAACATTCAATACAATCAACATTTACCTATTCCAGGTAACCCAACACCACCATTAACACCAGCCTCAGGAATGCAGCAACCCTATCCTGCCGATATCAAGCCTAATTTCACTGCCAATGGTAACTCTGGACCCGGAGGTGTAGTGAACGGTGTGATTGGTGCCAGAGTTAATGCTGGTCCTGATCAAACAACGATGATTAACCAAGGAATAATGAAACATAATTCGAAAGATGAACCTCGTTTAGTTTTTACCTTAAAAGACGGAGTACTTTTAGAACCATTTCGCATAGATCATGAAGTTCAAGTTAGCGATCGTACATTTGACATACCCCCTGAAAAATACCATCAAATTCAATCAAGTGATGATTTTGACATCCAATTAAAATGTTTTCATCATCAAGATAATCTAGCGAAGAGCCCAAATTGGCCTCAGCAAGTGCAAGTCTCAGTCAACAATCAACAAATACCCATAATCCGGGGTAATGATACATCAGCTCATAAACCATTATTTTTAAAATCAGTGATTAAACCAAATCGTAATACTATTCAAATAACATCTCAAGATTGTTGCTGTTCCCATTTATTTATATTACAAGTTGTCCATCAACCAACGGTGACATCGGTAGCGTCCGGACTATTACCACAGAGACTTGTTCCCGCTCTTAGATGTATCGAGAAAATCAAACGAAACTTCACCAATAATCGAGTTCACAATAATCCAAATTACCTTTGGTAAGTAAATAGTTTCTTTTTTTACCTTCACATTATATTTATATCTTTTATCTCTCTCATAATTTAATGTGTGTAATGAATTTATTTTCTGATAGGAATCTTTTATTCTCATGAAAACATGGAGAGAGTGAGAGAAAATATTCATAAAACAAACAACAAACTCATAAGTCTCTTTCACGCCTTTTCTGTATCTTCTCATCTACTGATATATCACACACTCATCGAATCTCACTAACTTCAACTCTCTCTCTCTCTCTTGTTTTATTCTCTCAATTTTGCTCTCAACACTTTTACCAGTCTCGTTTTCTCTCTGTCTTCTGACTTGTAATTCTCCGTCGCACAAGAAAAATTATTGATATAACATGATGAACATTTCATCAGTTATTAGTAAGCTCGGAACGATCAACGTATTGATATTATTCCCAAATATCAACAATTAGAAGCCAAACCCTTGAAAAGAGAAAAGGAAAGCGATACATTTCCTCTTATCATGATATACCCATGGTACAGAATTGAATCTCCTTTAGCGTGTGTTGATAGTAACCTTTTTCTTGTCTCTTTTTCTCCTCATTATCTTTTCTTCATCTTCTTTAAGGCCTCCTTCTTCATCTTCCAACCTCGAATGAGATTCTCAGCTCATTTATTTAGTTGAATTAACAGAAACAGAAGAAAAATCAGAAGACGCAACAAGAGAAGGAGAAAGTTTTGGGTGGTTTGCTAACAGAATTGTGACTTGAGTGAGACTGGTGAGAGAATGCGAGAGCAAAGAGAAAGAGAGAGAGAGAGAGAGAGAGAGGATAATGATGAGAAAGTAAGAAAACTAGAAAGAGAGGCCAGATTGATTAACTAAGTGGTGATGATAATTTACTTGAATTTCCTCTGCAAACGAGTTAACCAATATACAGATAGAAAGAGAAAGCGAAAGTAGTAATTAGCAAATAAAGTTAACTAACACTCTGTATATTACAAACATATTCAGTGTATTTATATTCACTTAAATTCATTCATTTTCAAACAACCATATCCAATATAACGTGTGTCCTGTACGATCTTCTTGAAGATTTAATTCCAAGGTTGCGATTGTGTGGCAATCTTTTTGCATTTTATTCAATAATAAACCAGCTCACTGATTTCCTTTTCTTTTTCTTTTCTTTTTCTCTTTTCCCTTCTCTTTCTTTCTACCTTTATCATCTTCTCTTATCGTTAATGATGACAAAAACATGATTAGGACACCACCTATAACTCCCGTTGACGATTGTTCTGTCGTTGAACAAACGGCTATTAAATTATCACTGAAATGTCCCATAAGCCATAAAAGGATATTATTACCTGCTCGTGGGTCAGAGTGTATTCATATTCAATGTTTTGATCTCAATAGTTACCTTGCAATGAATGCCGAAAGACCCAGTTGGCGATGTCCAATTTGTAATAAAGGTGTTGCTTTATCAAATATTGAAGTTGACGAATATATTTGGGGTATTATAACTAATCTTCGTGACGATTCATATGAAATATCAATGACGCCTGATGGATCTTGGAATGGTCTTGATAGTAAGGGAATGCCAATAACTAATCAACATCAACCACAATTACCCCATCCTCATCCTCATCTTCAACATCATCAACAACATGCACATCAACATCCTCATCAACTTACACATGGACATGCACATCAACATCAGCAACATCATCATCATCAACAGCAGCAACAGCAACAACAACAACAACTACCATTACAACAACATTTCAAAGAGGAACCAGATTCTCTTGGATCTCATTGTATCACAAACACTTCCACGGCCATTGCTGCCACCACCAACAACAACCACATCCACATTACCAACAACATTAACGTCAACAACAATAATAATGTTGCAACAAAAAGGAATAAGCGTATGAAGACAATGTCACCAACTAGTTCATCAATGCCATCAACCTCTAATTCTTGGGAAATAGGACAAGGCCTTTCAGCAACAGGCAACATTGCTCCAAACGTTTCATCAGCAGTTACAACCGATTCCTCACTTTCAGGAGGGATCGTATCATCTGGTACAACTGTAGCCGCGACTGGAGCACAGAATTACCCACCGTCAGCATTACCTGGCATGTCTGAGATGGTTTCAAATGGTTCACCATTTGATTTCCATTCAACGCCAGGCTCAGAATATTCATCAATCTCTCATCTTCCCAATTCCCTTTCATCAACCTCGATATCTGACAATCCACTTGATCCATTGGCGGCTATGGAGAAATCATTATCTCAACATGACTTTGGCTCTCACCATGAAAATATTTCTAATATTACTAGTATTAATCATAAATCACCACAAAATCATCATAATCATTTAAATCACCACCAATCAAGCCAACAACAACAGCATTCTCAACCCCAACAACCTCACCAACAACAGCAGCAGCAGCAAAATCTTCATTCGCAATCCCATCAACACCCACCTCATCAGCAATCCTCTCATCCATCTCATTCTCACCTGCAACATCCATCAAATGCACAAACACCTCAACAACAATCAAACCAATCTCAACAACAACAACAATCATTACTACAACCAAATCAACAACAGAATCAATCTCAGTCAACAGATTCTGGTCTACTATCTCAGAATTGTTCCTCCATGGGCTCAGGTAGCTCTAACAATGGTTCTAATGGTTCTTTATCATCAATACCCAATGGACCACATACTCCACACACACCTCACACTCCTCATACACCACACACACCAAGTAATATGGGCCCACCTTCAGTGAGTAGTGCAAATGTAACTCCCAATTCAAATGGTGATCCACTTAACAATAATCCGGGAAGCAATGCAAGTAATGCAAGTAGTAATAATAGTGGTAATAACAATTCCATTGGTACTGATCTTGGTGATCTCAATTTCGATCCTGCTGCCATCATCGAAGGAGAAGGACAAGGACAGGAAGGACTTAATGTAAATATCTATTTTTACACTTATTGTTTTCTACACTTGTTTATATCCACAAATTGTAAACATTTAATTATAATAATTTCTCTTTCTTTTCTCCTTTGTGTCTGCCTTTATTTTTCCTTGATAACCTTATAGCTTTTACCTGAAAACGTTGTCGATCCAATGGAACTCCTTTCATACTTGGATACACCAGAAACAACAGCTTCCTTAGCCATGACATCTTCAACAAGCTCGTCATCTAGTAGTAATTTACTTAATTCAAGTTCATTACCATCATCATCCTCTGACAATGATGATATACTTTCCCTCTTTACGTGATTTAATCCATTGTAAAAAGTACACACACAACAACAACAACTAAAGACTTGAAAGAAACAACAAAATCACCTACAAATTTACATAAGTAAAAAAAAACTATCAGTGCCGTTGACAAATTATAATGATATTATTATACCAAGAAACTAAAATTGTGACAAAAAATTAGTTTAATCAGGAAAACACAAGGACAAAGTTCAAGACCTGGTCAGTTTTCAACTGTATAAACAACCGGTAATAATACCTACAATCAACAGCAAATGTAATTGTTGGAGCAACTGAAAAAAATGACCCGATCAACAGATCACTAAGCTTGGATTGTAAGAGCAACAGCAGTCGCGAGACAAACACGCTTGTTGCTTGACCAACCTTAGCACCCCAGGAATACAAAGCTGCAACAACTACGACAACAACAACAACAACCACAAGGACAACAAAATATACATTATATACAAAATATAAGCATCGACAATATCCAAAAATGAAAACAAAATTGCAACATGTAAATACATGTATATAAATACAACATAAACAAATCATTTTGATTATATATATAAATTAAAATCGATCATAAAAAAAGTCTCATCATTGAATCAACAAAAAACAATTAAAAAACAAAACTAAATCAATTCGTACTTGATTTTTTTTATATCAAAACCATTGGATGAATAATCATTTGAAACTAAATAACAAACAATCAAATAGTTAATCATGAAGAAATGATTAAAAATAAACAACAAAAAGAGTTGCCAACTGAACGGAAACAATTAAATACAATTAGTATTCATGAAGATGAAATTGATTAGCTTGTTATGATTGTTTGATTTGATTGGAAAATAAGTAAATTTAAAAAGCATGAAGGACATTCAGCTGATTTTTAATTGTTTGTTGATAGAAAACAAATAAGCATCTTTATCCTTAACCTGATGATTTAGATTATTGTTTGGACTTTTAATTTTGTTTCAGCGAAATTATTTTAATTATAACGATTAGAAAATCGCAATTTAGACTTATATAAATGTAATTGTTCTGAAAATTGTTTACCAAAAAGAAAGAGATGAAGAAAGAGTAAGATGATGATGGAGATGATGATGAAGATAATGATGATTAGACTAAAGCTTTAAGGTTTTTGACAAAAGAAAACGATGTTTGTGTTTATGTATAAAAATATACTTACATCTGTATCTATATATAGATGCTAATATATATAGAAGTGCATATATATGTTTTCGTGTGTATAAAGATGATGAGGATGAGAGAGAGAGAGAGAGAGAGAGAGAGAGAGAGAGAGAGAGAGAGAGAGAGAGAGAGAGGAGAGTGTCAAAAGGATATAAGGGAGCAAGAGATGAAAAGAAGAACAAGAAGATGATCATTGAGTCTAAGGAGCAAATGAAGAAGCAGAAAAAGAGAGGATGAAGAAAGAGTAGCAGAAGGCAAACCAAGAGAGAGAGAGAGAGAGAGATGATAAAGATGATGATGGAGATGAAGATGGCGAGGGAGCAACACACAAAAGTATCAACCATTATATGCCGGGTGTTTTTTCATCTTCACTTTATCATCTCATTTACTTCAACTATTAAAGGCAAACGTGTTTTCGGGGAAGATCAAGTCGCGCGCCATTGCGCTCGCGCGCGTCTTGATCTGTTGGATGATGATGATATACTTATTATTATGATGATAAGAATGATGAAGGTAAGTAAAAAAAAGAGGGAGGCAGGAAGAGAGTTGAGGTCACCGGCACAAAATGGCTCTTAAGAAAGTCGCAAGATTTAAGGAAGACCAAATATCTACATATTATACACGATAGAGTAAAATCCAATATAAGGCAATGATAAAGTGAGAAAGAGAAAAAGAAAGAGGAAAATAATGATGATAATGATGATAAAAGGTGAATACTCGGAATGGAGAGAGAAAAAAATTTGGAAGATCGAACCTTTGAAGCCTGAATTTTTTTCCATCATGAAGTTACAATATCTTCCAATTACATGATCCTTGATGTGAAAATAATATGAATCATTTGCTACTTAGCAAATATATCATTCGATCAGCTGATGAGGGATGATAATTATTGCTAATTGTAAATTTGCAAAGATTTGGAATCAAATTGCAAATAAAACGCAAAAGTTAATTTACTTTGATTATGAAAGTTAATCATCGCCATAGAACTGAACCTTTGATGGTTCAATTGAAATGAATCTTGGATAAGGTTCATCATATGGAGTAACATTTAATGGATGTGCAATTGTAAAGGCAGAGAGGATGAAGATGATGATAAGGATGAGGAGGATAATGATTATGATGATGGAAAGCGAAAGAAAGAGAGAAAGAGAGTGAAAGTTATTCTTGTTTCTTTTTACTTTCGAATTGGATAATAAGACAAAATAATAATAACGCATCTTCCATTTACTTCAAGTCTTTCCAACGAAAATCTTACCCAAAAGAGATGAAGGTGAAGGGAAGTGGATGAAAATCATCAAGATGATGAAGATGATGATCAACAACAACAACAACATTGAGAAGGAGGAAAAAAAATCATCATTGGAAGATGGAAATGATGAGGATGATGAGGATCATTTGAACTTTATATTATCATTTGCTACCTGCGAGCAAACTCAAGCCAAACAAACTGACACAAAGGTCTCTTTCTTTACTCTCTTTACTCTCTTTCCTTTCTTCTTTCTTTTCTTTCTTACTTTTCTCTCTTTCTTTTCCATTGCATCTTCTTTTATCATCATCCCTCCTCTTCCTGGTTTTTGGGTTACTACGAACTTTTTTTTCTTACACAACAAGAACACAAGCATATAAACATTTACACACAGAGGAAAATAGAAAGAGAAGATAAGAGGGGGAGGAAGAGAGGAAGAAAGAAAGAAAGAAAGAGAGAGAGAGAAGAAAGGGAATAAAGAGAAGAGTGGAAAATAAAGAAGAAGTTCAAGGAAAGGAAGATACACTATCTTCTCTTTCTTTTTCTCTCTTGTTCTCTATTTCCATTTCATCATCATTATCTTTCCTCTCTACTCTCCTCATCGATTTATCTTCTCCCTCTTTCTCTCCTTCTCTTCCTCTTTTCCCTTTTTCTTTCTCTTCTCTGTCTATTTTTCTTTCTTCTCTATTGATACTTCTCTTAATCGAATGGATAAAAAGTCACCACCACCTAATATTTATCTTCTCTTTCTTTTTCATCTTCTATTATTCAACCAATCGTGTCTCTTTCCTCTTCTTATAAATTGAAACCTTACCGAGAGAGGAAAAGAAAGAGATGATTTTTTTTTCTCATCATCATCACATCAACAACATAATCGTAATCAGGACAAGTAAACAAAGTAAAACTGCTCATACAATCAACAGCAACTTCAACACATTGAAAAAGATTCATCAACAAATTGACACATTAGAAGTTAATCTGAATCTTTAATACTAATTGTAAATGATTAACTTGATTGTTACGAAGAAAAAGAAAACATTGAAATTATTTCAAAGTCTTGGGCTAATATTATCATTGGAAAGTTATAATTAGCATAGAAGCTGTTTAATTATTTATGTTTATTATTATTAGTTGGGTGGATGATTAGGGAGGAGGAGGTGGAGGAGGTGGAGGTGGGGTGGTAATAATAATCATTGGAAAGTATTAGTTAAGTGAAGATCATCAAGTGAAAACTTGTTTATTGATTATTATTATGATGAAGGTAAAAGAAGTACAAACAAAAAGGAAAACAAATTAACTCATGATAGAGAATCGACTTGATTGTTTGGGTTTTAATTGTTGTTGATTAAAACTGATTGTTGATCTTTTTGTTAGTTGATATTCTCAATGATTAATAAATTATTTAATGGTGAATTCGTTTATTAGAAAATTAAGAAAACAAGTTTAGTTGCGTAATAAGATATGTGGATTGAAATAGAAAGAAAGAAAGAAGAAAGAAAGAAAGAAGAAAGAAAGAGAGAGAGAGAGAGAGACGAAAGTAACCACATAGCATTGATTATGATTGACTGATTGTGGAAGCAAAGAAAGGGCTAGTTAGTTGAGAGAGAGAGAGAGAGAGAGAGAGAGAGAGAGAGAGAGAGAGAGAAATAAGTAAGATGATGATGAATGGGAGCTGAAGAGGCCTGATGAAGATGATCCCTGATTTATACTATGAAAAGGGCGACTGATGATGGAGAGGATGATAACCATGCACCACAATATAATCATCAGAATTGAAGATAACTAAATTTTTGTTGTTTTCCGTTCTCCTGTCGATCTCTTTCTCATCTTCAGCTCCCGAGTTCTCGCTCTCTTTTTCGCGCCCTTTATGCTATTTAAATCTTTTCTTCTTTATTTTTCTTTTCATCTCTTTAGTACATCATGCAAGTGATCTGAACGATCTGACCCGATCCTGGAGACCTCGTTTTTTGTTCTTGTTTGTTGCTGTTTTGTATGTTACTCTTTTCATCATGTTACCTCAATGAGAAGTTGGTGTGGTTGGATGATGATGATGATGATAAAAATGATGATTCGTGGGGGTGGATGATAGGATTATGATGATCAGTCTCAGTGATGGTTGGACAGTTTCTGCACGAAATCGTTTGTTGCTGCAAAACGAAAAATAATCAACATTTAGTTCGAGATTTAGGTCAACCTAGACATCGAAACACAGTCTTCACCTTAGTTATCGACGAGAAACATTTGATATCGAATGAAGATAAGATGATGAATAGAAAGAGAATCGTTTTCTTTTCTCTTTCTCTTAATCTGATGAAAAAGAAACTCTGTCTTCGTTTCTTTCGTTACAGTTTACTCTGTCTTTTTAACTTACTTTGTCTTCCCAAAGATCATCATCTTAACTCGCTCAGTAATAACAAGAATCTGAAGAGACATTAGAATCCATGAAGAAGATGATGAAGATAAAGATGACGATAGTGAAGAAAAACCTTCAATCTGTCCAGTTTCTTGTCCTTTTTTCCTCATATATTTTATCTTCCTCATCTTCTCTCACTTTCTCTCTCAATCTCATTCTTATTCTTTTTGTCTTCATTTTCATCATCATCTAATTCTGATCGTCTTTGCTTTTTTCTCTTTTTCTCTTCCATCATCTCATCTTCTTCCTTTTTTTCATTCTTCGTCATCATCATCATCATCATTTCCATCTTCCTTTTCCTCTTCGAGGTATTATTTGTTTCCATCACATGATCTCTCTTGTTGATTATTGATTTTCTGTCTTCTACTCTTTCTGTTTTCTCTTCTTCTTCTTCTTCTTCTTCTTCTTCTCATCATCATCATCTCATATCAACTACTTATCACCAACATTTCCTTGTGTTTTTTACTATTATTTTGTCTGTTTGTTGCTTATATTTTTCTCTCAGAACTTTTTTTTTCTCCATGGAATTGGCAAACTATTTCTATCAATAATATCCTGGGTAATAATAAATGTAATAGATACTAATGCTCACTCAATGTTGATCATATTCATTGGATTAGATTGAAATTAATTTCTAATTATGACGACAATTAACTGATTAACTTAACATAGCATTAAGCTAACTTAAAGTCAAAGATGAACATTAAATTATTTACATTAATTTAAATTGTATTAACAATAAATATTTGTTCAATAGCAATTATATTGTCTTAACTGTTGTAATGATTATA